GCTGTTGTGTTTGGTATAGTTTTTGTTGATTGATGGTGGTGGGGGTGGAGCTGTTATGTTTTTGTTTGTGTTATTGTTGTTGATGAGTTCTTATTGTTTTAGCAACGGTTATGGTGCTGTTGTGTTTTGGTTTGTTGCTGTTGTTGTTGCTGTTGTTGTTGCTGTTGTTGTTGCTTTTGTTGCTGTGGTTGCTGGTGCTGTTGAAGTGATTTTATTGTCGGTCTTGGTTTTGTTTATAGTGCTGAAACTTTCATAATGTGTGTGTTTTTTTGTTTTTGCTGTGTTTTTTTTTTAAATGTCATTTCCATCTGAACATTTTCCGTTGAAAGAATGTTAACATGTACAATTTATGTCCTTCCTGAACACTTCCAAATAAACAAATTCTATTTCTCCCTTTTCCTATCTCTATAATTCTTCTTCTTATCCTTAGCTTTCAAATAAACATTTTCTATTTCTTCCTCTTCCCACCTCTATCCTTCTTCATCTTATCTCCACTTCAGGAATAAAGAATCCCACATAAGGACATCGGAATGTTTGTTCATTTTGTAGGATTTTTTTATGGAGGCTTGAGTACGCTTTGTTTGTTTATTTGGGGTGGGGGGGTTTTCAAGTATGCATCCAACACGGCCGATGTCCATTCTGAGAAAAAGGCTTCATGTAGTCTGTCTCTTAAAAAGATTTAAACTATCTTCAAATTCTTAGCCTATTTTGATAGGTTTATACAGAAAACGCCACCAACGATTCAGTTCTTTACCATTTTCCGTCTTTATCCCAAGCATTGTCTGATCTGCTGAACTCTCACAAGTAAGAATATTTTTCTCTTCTCTCTCTCTCTCTCTCTCTCTCTCTCTCTCTCTCTCTCTCTCTCACACACACACACACACACACACACACACACACACACACACACACACATACACACACACCCACACACACACACACACAAGCACAGGCACAGGCACACAGTAGGAACAGAACGACAAACAGATAAACAGGTAGGCAGATAGACTGACAAACAGACAGACAGACAGACAGACAGACAGACAGACAGACAGACAGACAGACAGACAGACAGACAGAAGTTTGTTTCGCGACATCAGTCTTCTATCTCGATCCTCCTCATCCATATCCCTGTCCCCTCCACCCCTCCCCCCACCATTCCCCTATTCTTTTGTCCCTTTTTTCAATGATGCCCTTGCAGTTTATGACTGTGGCATCCGGTGTCCGTTTGGCCGCGCTCTGTCTTTGTTTCCCGATGATTTGAATATAGCAACGGTCACGGCTATTAAGTATCTAATGGAAATGCATAGCACGCTCGATCCTATTTTATTTTTTACCTGTTCACTATGATCAGTGTTGTAGAATCCACAGATTTAGTTGAAAGAACAGAGTGCTAGGTGTTAAGTTTTGTTTGTTTTGGTAAGTGTTTTACGGTGCTCGAAACTGCATAAGGTCATATGAGCGCACTGGACACATTAAGCATTTTCAGTTAGTAGGAAATTTTGAATTTTGCCCGGATGGCGGCCAAAACCTACTCTTATCGATTTTGGACCACCAAGGGATCTTAACGTGCGCAACTTGCGCACGGGACCTCCGAGAATTTTTGCCCTTGTCCGTGAAGGCTAGGTGTAAATCTCTCCTACCTGAAGATCAGGGGTGTAGCTGAAAGACAGCAGTGAGAATGAGCCAAGGGGTGGTGGTAGAAAGGCTGCAGACAGAATCAGGAGCCCAGAGGAGGGGCAAAAGAGGTGAGGGGATGGGAGCAGAAGGTTGAGACGAAAGCAG